TGCTAGCTCCTCTTCAGCTTACCTAATTCTTCAAGGTTTTCTCTCATTAAATTACTTTCTTGAAATTCTTTCGTATATTGGTTCTTTAAGCTTCTTCAGTGGCTCGCTCAAGTTTCTCTTTTTGTTTCAATGTGATTTGTTTTGTTCTCTATAAGGTTTCTCTCTTATGTATATAAAGCCTGGGAAAAGTTCTCTCTTTCGCTACTCTCTCAATTCTTGTTCTTAAGGCTTAGTCGCTATTTAGAGAAAGAAACTCTTATATTTCAGACTTGCTTAAATTCATAAATAGAACTTTGGTGCTCTAAGTTTCTCTTTAATTTGTAAGGTTTCTTTCTAATTCCAGTCTTCTTCTATCTATCTGTGGTTCGTAAGTTGGCAAACTTCTTTAAAGTTTCTCCCACATTTAAAAGTTCTTCAAGTTATCTTGAGTAACTTCTTAAGGTTTCTCTCTCCATAAATAACGTTGCCATTTCCAGATAATATCCCACCCAAAAGTGAACAGCAAGCTCTATGATATGCTGAAGGGTTTGCCTTAGAGGCCCTCTAGACCCCCCTCGACCTCTCCCTGACTCTCTTTCTCTGAATGCTCAATCTGTCGGATCGCTCATGAAATCTGTAATTTAAGATGTGCGCGCTTCATGAGACGTTTAAAGTTCGTGAATTGTGAAAATTACTCGATTCGATATGCGCGAAAATTGTGCAGCGAAGCCAGCAAATATTTTGCATGGCTCAATCTTTGATTGCCATTTGGGCCGAGCGGGTCCTGCACCCTATCACTCACTCTCTCTCTCTCTCTCTCTGTCTGCTGGTCGGTCTCTTTACCCCCTTCGAGCAAGTTGTGACAGGACGAAAGGTAGCGAAATGCGTTGCATTTTAATCGCTCGTCCTGGCCCAAAATGAGAAAAAGGCTGCTCCTTTTGCAGCCTTTCCTCGCCGTCGTGTCATAAGTGTGTGAAAAATTGATAGACTTGTCATGAGCCGGCCCAGGTGGGGTGGGTTAGACGACAGTCGCCGCGTCACCACGTCGCCCGACGTCTCGTCCTGTCCGCCTCTTTGTATGCCAGCGCACATAAAGTTGCATAAATGTCAGCCGACTGTCATGACAACCTCTTGTAAACGCCCCATAATTTTTATTATTAATGACATCAACGCATTATTATCGAACACCCAATGGCCCATCAATATTTTTAGCTCTCACTGAGTACTCTTTCGTTGTGCGCGCCTTGAAGAGTTCCCGTCATTGGGCGAGTCAACTGCTCGACTCTTGCCTTTCGGTTCTCGCCTCGAGTGCGAATTCCTGCTTAAGTTGAAATTGCCAAAATACTCACATTGACCTTGGCTTCTTAGAGATGCCATAGCAAAGCTCTAGTGGCCATCGAGACATGCCCTTGGCTAGCAACGCGTGGGCTGCCAAGGCTTAAGCTGAGTCGAATCGAATTGAAGCTCAAGAAAATCCAACCGATCTGCTCTAAGCTCAATTTCCCAACAATTCACGAGCTTTTTGAGTATTTGGCTTAGCTCAACTTAGCTGAATCGACTTCAAAAAAATATTTTTTTTAAAGAGATTTTATTTAGTTGATTGCATTGACTGTGAGCCAGCTTGGGATTTCCTTGCGGTCCAGAGGTCTAGTGTTGACTCTTATATATATATATATATATACAACTATATTCACTAGAAATTAGTTCCTTACACGGTCCACTTTGCTTAGCTCGAATTTTGTTGTCTGCGCTGCAGAGCTCCATAGAGATATTTTCTTGTTTTTACAGATAGTTTACTGGCGTCTCTAATCATCCAGTCCAGTTGAACTCATTACAATTGGCAATTCAAGGTATAATGGTATTCTGAAAATGTATATAGCTGGCAGAAGTAGGCGTGGCCCCCACATGATTGATATATAAACTCTGCAAGGGGTTCAGGGCATCTCCAAGTCGAGTCGTCTAGGCTAGAACACTTACATATATTTTGCACACATGAACCGTCTATCACGAGGAACACTAAGATATTTAAAATTGGGGGTGCCAGTGACACATGCGGCCAATCTGCTTTGCTAGTGACAAAGGTGGTGTGTCGCGACTCTTGATGGTAGTGCAACAGCTAAGGCATGCAGGTATGCCTACACTAAAAGGTATTGCCTACTTTTGGGCATTGCTGAAAATACATAGAAATAATAAAAGCATTGCATACTTTTTAGCGCATGCGAAAATGTTGAGCCGCACAAAAAACGTTGCGTGCTTTTTGGGACTAATACAGAGTGAACTATAAATGTAACTATGACGCAGGCAATGCCATTTAGAAGACTATCAGAATACACAGGTATTAATATATAGCATGTATATGCATATGTTATATCTGGGCAATTTATCTTAATACATATATGTAGACACACAACTAAAGAGCACACCTGGCCGTTACTAGTGACATAACAAATACAGAGCATACAATAACGTATGTTAACTTAACGTCAAATGGGCCTTGCATCCAATATTGTGACTCATCATGTCTACAAGGCGTTCATCGTGCCGCAAGAGTACAGCAAGTCCTATGTGCCGAAGATCAAGATCGAGTTCCAGTTTAAGTCGCATGTGCGGCGCAACAAGCCAATTGCCAGTTCGAATAAATTAGTATCACAGTTGCTGGGAATCACACCGAATCGTGCCTCGACTAAGCCTCCCTCACTTTAAGATTACTTTGGAATGCAGAGGCAGCCACATCCGAGGCGAATGCCCTTATTGAGAAGCTTCCAGCAACGTCAGCCACATTCACAGGCCAGCAATTCGCCTTGGGTCCCGTGCAGCGATGCCCACTGGCATCACTTCGTGGAGCTTGTGTTCAGCGACTCGCTTTCCATTCCAGAGCATGCACGTCGTCAGGTGGCTGCCTCCGCCGTTGGCTGGTGCAAAACTAACCCTGAACGGGGAAGAAAACGGCTTTCGCTTAAATCAAATATATAATGCTATAAAGTTGTACCTGCCTTTTACAATTTATTTTCATTTATAGCTTGATCTTTCGCTTTTTAGTTCATTTTTGACAGTTTGACTTGATGGAGAAATGTATAATATTCTATTCAGAAGTATTAAATTATGCATTTTTTTGTCAATTGGTCTACTTACACACTTCCCAAGCATTTCTATACTGCACTTTCCCGTTAAGTGACTGGACTTCATAAAAAGTCAAGACACCAAATTAATTCTAATGTTCTCTATGACATATCTTTAGCTGGACTTTTCGCCCTTTATATTAGTAAAGAATCTGGAGGCAAACAGAAAAAGAATTGTTTAAAGCTATAATTTTTTTTTTGTTTCACAAACATTTGTCTTAAACTTAACTGTTATTCAAGTGCTGCAAATCGATCTGTAATCTACATTTTGATTCTTGAAGCTTTATATATTTTTTGGCTGTTATATAATGAGTTTCCTATACTTTTCGCTGCTTTACTTTACTCTTTCTTATCCTAGCCAAGTAGCTTTATATGTCCCATCTCTTATCTCCTTCTATATATATCTATCTCAGTCTGAATGCTATCTCTTCTCATGTATCTCAATATCTGTATTTCTATAGCTCTTACTCTATCACCCTCCATCTGCCATCTCTCGCTCTCTCTCTTTTATTCTGTATTCCATCTCTTCTAATGTACACGCCTATATCTCCCTAACTATCTCTCATTCTCTCCTTTGTCTGCCATCTCTTTCTATGTCTCTTTTTCTCTGATGTCATATTTTTCTATGTAATCTTTTCTCACGTATCTCCTTTTCTATGTCTCTCTCTATCCATATATCTTTCTTTCCATCTCTCTATCAGCTTCCATCTGCCATCTCTTTCTATGTCTTCCTTTCTTTTACTCTGTCTTCAATCTCAATCTCTTCTAATGTATATCCTTACATATCTGTGTATCTCCTATCTCTATATCTCTCTCTTTCCATGTGTCAATATCTCCGTCCCTTTCTATGTCTATCTCTCTGTTACTCCCTTTGCTTTCTCTTCTCATCTATCTCCCGACCCCTATATCCCTCTATATTCTCTTTCTCTGTGTACTCTCTATCTCCATCTCGATCTATTCGACATCGCTTCCGCTAATTCAAGCAAAATAAAGCCCATCCAAAAAATACAAAATGTTTTTTAGCAAAAAAATTATTTTTAATATTAATATTTGATGTTTTTGTTTTTTGTTCTCTGATTTGTCTTTAAACTAAACCGTTTTATTTTCCTTGTCACTCTCTTCACTTGTCGCTCTTCCCCCTTCGCTGTCTTCCATTTCGCACAGTTCCCTTCCTATCTGGTATTTACAATATTGAGTTAACATATCATTAGTTAGTTATAGACTACACAATAAATGGATTAAAATACATAAATAGGTGTTTACATCTCTTAAAATAATAAAAAAAAAGATTTAAATAATATATTAGAGTGTAAGCACGACAGGCCGATGCTTGCAGTGGACTCTCCCCGCCAACATATGATATAGTCTATATATACACACGATCGTGAAGAGTTTTCTTGTTTTTTTTTTTTTTTTTTTTTTTTTTGTGAGGGCAAAATTGTATGAAAATAGCAATAGAAAAAAATTTTTCTAGCTTTGCTCTTATGACCCCCTAGATCCTAGTTAGATTATGCTTAGCTTTGGTTACATTATTTTAGCATGTTTTTTGTTTTGGTATTTTTTGGTATTTTTGGTATGTCTAAGTAAAAAAAATGGTATTTTCATTCGTGTAGGAAAAAAGTCGTTAGAATCATAATAATACATTGATTATGTGTAAATTGAGTTGTTATTTAGCTGGTATGTGCTGAATATATATATATGCATATATATATATATATATATATATATATATATTTATAGAAACACCATGCAACATTAGAGAGTAAGTAAACTTAACAAAAATACTTGCAGACATTCGAAATGAAAATGACAATAAAAAATGTAAAATGAAAAGGAAACGAGAATGTTTTCCGTTGAATACAAGAGATCAAAGCTTTAACATTTCACTTAAGTAAAACAAACAATATAGTTAAAAACAAAAAACATGTTGCATAGTGTTCCCGCTTCTGTTTTTGGTATGTGAGTTGCCTAAGAAAGTCTCGATCGTGCATGTCATAAGTAAAGTATTGCATTAGGCATCTATATATATATATATATAGATAGAGAGAGACCTAGAGGGTCTTTAGCATGGCCGCCTTGCTGCTTGCGCTGCTCTTGTACGTCTCGTAGGAGGCACTGGCAGCTGCGCCCACATGCAGCTGCGCATAGCCGGAGCTATTGGCGACAGCAGCTGCCACAGCCTCGGCGCCATTGACAACCGTTGGGGGTATGGGCTTGTGGGACTTGTAGCGCTGCAGCATCTCTGCGGAGCTCTGCTTGAAGGTTTCGGTCATTTGGCCACGCACGCGCTCCATTAGCTGATCGATGTCGTCCTTGGTGAGGCCCTCGGTGCTAATTGGCGGCAGCGTGGTTATCACAATGCGGCCAGCGTTCAGAATCTTCTTCTTGTCGTTGAGGAATGTACAATAGGAGCTGAAGACGACCGGCAGTATGGGTATCTGCTGGTCGATGGCCATGTGAAAGGCGCCCTTCTTGAACGGATGCAGCTCGCCCGTGTTGCGACGCGTACCCTCCGGAAAAACCCACAGCTTAATGCGTTGCTCCTTGATGCGACGATTGACTGCGTTCAGCGTGTCGCGCGCCTTCTCGCCGCGCACCCGATCGATGAAGATGAGCCCGGCCAGCCAGGCGGCCAGTCCGAACGGCCAGGCGTAGAACAGCTCCCGCTTGGCCACCACCGTGCACTTGTTCATCACGTGCCAGATGTTGAACATGCCTGCAATGAACACAAATATATTTTAGCTTGAATAGTAATTGCAATGGTCAGATATATGGACTACCCAGCACGTCCAGTGAGCTCTGGTGATTGGCCACGATGATGCATGCCCGATCCTTCTCCAGATGCTCCTTGCCACGCAGCTCCCAGCGCAGTCCAATCAAAGCGGTGACACGATGGCACCAGGTGCTGGCCCAGCTGAGAGCAAAGATATATATAAATAGAGATTAGTTGGAGGTCTAATTGAAAGGCTTCTCTTTCTCAAGTGCAACAGCATTCATGAGAATCGCAAAGAGAGGTCAGTAGCTATTGATAACAGCGCAACAGACAGAATATATATTGATGGGTATCCAGAAAGAGAGCAAGCTAATATTTCATATTTTGTTTACAAACAAGGCTCGTTTACAGTCGCATTTGAAATGTCAGTCTGGGAAGAGCATTTTTAAAATTCGTCTAAACAAAATTATGCACTGAACAGAGTGCGCGTACAGAGGCAAGTAAGCAAGGCTATCTGCTGTGCTTGCTGGGGCTTACGACTGCCCAGCACGTGGCGCCCACAAGAGGCACTTAGAATCGTCAACAGAATGCCCAATCCATCGTGGGGGTCGTCAAGGGTCATTGGGAACTCGAACAAGAGCAGCATATTTCCGGATGATAGACGACGTCGACCGCAGTTGTTTGTCCCGCCGTCGGAACGGAGAGCGGAGCGTACGCAAATGTCTCTTCTACTTGGCTGGGAGTACGGACGGGAGTGGCAGACGGAGCGCAATGAGGTCGAGCGTCGCAATAATATGCGGTCCTCGAACCGTTTCATCCAGCCCGACTACCACTGGTGGCTAAAGAAGCGTACGACAGCGCTCGATCGCCGGCAACTCTACACGCGCTCTCGCCCATCGAAGACCTACATCCTGTCCGCATTCGCAACGTCCCGAAGGCTGCGCCAGGGACAGAAGCAAAGTCAAGTGCATCCCGAGCTGGGCACAGCTGACGACGTCAAGTGCAAATGTGCCGACTGCCAGCAGACGCAATGTCGCCACGCCTCAACAGACCAGACCCCAGCCTCAGCTCGAGGCAATACCCGGCAAATCTAATGTGAACGGGGTTTTACCAATTGAATCAGTTATGACAAAGGCAAAGTGGCAAGGCTCTATGGAAGGTAAGAGGCGTTCCCTCATGCTTAGCTATTTGACTGGTTTAAGGTGACGGTGTTGCCACTTGGTCACATATGGCAACATATTTAGTATGCGATCCATTTTGTCTCCTTTACAAGCTGTCTAACTACGTGTCTACTCTTTTATCCACTTGACTGGCAGGGTTGCCACCTAGTCGTCATTTCGCACATATGGCAACACTAATAGGCAACACTACTATGGGCTCTTGCTGGCTGACCTGTCAGGATATATGTTTTAACTCGACGGCGTTGCCACCTAGTCATATGCTACATATGTGGCAACATCATGCAGCTTGCACCGTTGTGTACTAGCGTTGCAAGCTGATCTGCTGGCCTAGTTGACATTTCATGCTGCTAATTTTTAAATAAATTGATTAGTTTCCAGCGTTGCCACCTGGCCCAGCAGCTGCAAGTACGGCAACGCCAAACACAATCATTTTTCGACAAGGCGACATACAGATCTCATTCTATTGCATGTGGCTGGCAGCCAAGTTCGCAGCGTTGCCACCTCGCTGCATTATGCACAAACCTCTGGCAACGCTTTTTAATCTATGTTTCAAGTAAGAATATCTGTAACATATTCGTTAAGGAAGTTCTTGCAGTCTAAACTTCTCCTGCAGCGTTGCCACCTAGATGCAGAGCATTACGCCAGTCCAACACTTGCCACACATGGCTGCCCCCTTCTGATCAAATTTCTAGCTAAGGAGGCTCAGTGAATTCAAATTGAGGTTGCCATATTGTCGCCAGATGCAACATGAGGACACGTCGCTCAGTCGCCAGTATAAAAGCAAACAAACGAAACAAATGTGCTCAGCTAAGTCTTTGCTCTCAGGTTTGGCGCCGACTGCAAAAATTGATATCAATAAAATAAACGAAATTTCGGTGACATCTGGTCATAAGGCGATTCGCTGTCGAGCGGATCGGCGAATGCTGTGCAGCTGCCAAGGTCGCATACCGAACGGATTAAGCGGTCTAAACTATTGCACTGTATTGGGTAATCCGAACCTTGATCCCCGATGCCCGATGCCCGATGCCCGATTCATTCAATTGATATCCGATAAATTTGATATGCAAATTCCACTTTGAAAAATAAAGACAATTTATCAATGTTTTTTTTTTAATTTTTTTTTAAATAGTTACAAGGTTGTGATTACCATGTATGGGCTGCATGCCATATAGATATATATATATTTATATGTGCGACGACTGAGACCCACTTGGGTCACAAATCAAGCAGAGCCAGCGCCTGAATACCCTACACCAAGCAATTGGCAAGAGCAACAGGAGTTGTTTCTCGATTGTTCCTATATACAAACTGTATGCACATACAGTCTGTCAAGAAACACTTTACACAGTGGAAAAAATCTCAATTTTTTGACTTTATGTAAAAAAATAAAGAGTTTTTGTTTAATTTAACTAATTTTTTTTAATGGTTAACTGTTTAATAGGTATTTTTAAATCAAATTATAGAAAACAGAAACAAAAACAATAATGGTGAAACTTAAAAAACAACAAAAACTTAGATTACTCATATTTTACACTGTCAAGAAACTCTTTACACACTTCTTATATATTGTTCTAAATTTAAAATGTAAAACTAATTATAACTAATTTTGAAATACTTAATATTTAGTATGGCCCCCCTTAGCATTCTGTACATGTTGGAGTCTTCTTTTCATTGAGTTGACCAAGTTTTGAATATACTCTAGGGGTATCTTCTGCCACTCTTCCAGTACGAAAGCTTTTAGCTGTCCACGGTTGGTTGGATTCCTTTTTCCAACCTTTTGCTTTAAATAAGACCACGCATGTTCGATTGGGTTGAGATCTGGGCTTTGGGGTGGTGTATCCAAGACCTTTCCGCAGTTGTAAAGCAACCAATTACGTACATTATACTCCTTATGTTTTGGATCGTTGTCTTGGTAAAATTTAAAAGTTGGCCGATTTTCACTAATAAAGCCAAATTTGGTTAAAAAATATTGCTCGGCATTCATTGTGTTTTCAATGAATACCAATTCACCGACTCCTTGGCTGGAAATGCAGGCCCAAACCATAACCGACAGCTTTCCAAATTTGACTGTTGGAATGATATTCGCTTTGTCGTAAGCTTTAGAGACCTTTCGCCATACTTTGGGCGGACCTTCGTTGTAATACAACATTATTTTGGTCTCGTCGCAAAATATAACGTCCTTTCAATACTCCTCTGGGTGCCTAAGCATAGTAAGAGCAAAACAGAAGCGCTTTTCCACATTTGTCGACGACAGCAAGGGTTTCTTACGTGCCACTTTCGAAGAATACCCATGCCGTAGAATAGCCTGACGGATCGTTTCGTGGGACACATCCACACCACACTCTTCTTTGAGCTCCTTGGCAAGAGTTCTGGTCGAGATTTGGGGATTTGATTTGATCTTTCGCATCATAAGGCGGCTTGCCCGATCAGATATCTTTTTTTTTCGGCCACCCACACCCTTTGCCTCAAGTCTTCCCTCATTTCCGCGCGACTGAGAACGTTGTATATGGTTTTTCTTGACACAGAAAACATTTCCACTAATTCTGGAACTGATTTGCCCAACTGCCGATTGTAGAAGATCAATTGGACAACATCGAAGCTTAATCTCTTTCCGGGCATTATTAATCAAAATTTGTATTGCTTTTATATGTGTACTCAGCCAAATTTCGCACAAAGTGAAAAATAAACACAAAAATAGAGATGCATAGACAGATTCTAAAGGCATAGTTAACGGTAAAGCCCCGTTATTTCTTAGAATCAGAGCAAAACAGATGAAGAGAACAAAATGTGTAAAGAGTTTCTTGACAGTGTAAAATATGAGTAATCTAAGTTTTTGTTGTTTTTTAAGTTTCACCATTATTGTTTTTGTTTCTGTTTTCTATAATTTGATTTAAAAATACCTATTAAACAGGTAACCATTAAAAAAAATTAGTTAAATTAAACAAAAACTCTTTATTTTTTTACATAAAGTCAAAAAATTGAGATTTTTTCCACTGTGTAAAGTGTTTCTTGACAGACTGTATATAATAATGATGAACAACAATCAAGCTAATAAGTCGCCAATTTGTTCGCAATTGTCTTGATTGTTTCGATCTGAATAATAGATAATTCTACCTTGCTTGCCTTCAACGAGTTCTGCAAAGGGCAAAACGGTACTCCATTCAGCATGGCTATGTCCACTATATAATCAAATATGCTCAACTCGTACCCAGAGCAGAACCTCCCCAGTTGACCAACGAGTTTTCGATCGATAATGCCCGCGGAGCAACGTAAACTGCCCTCGAGAGAACATATGTCCAGATCGAAGCAAACAAGCCATATAACACTAAAAATCAACTCAATTACGCTTCGCCATAAACACCCCATCAAGAAAAGAGACAACAAGAAACTCTGTCCACTCGTTGCGTGATAGTAAAAACTACAATTGGACTTGGACACGCACGATGAGGCCCAATATGGAACTATATATAATATATGTGTGTATATATGTGCCATTAATATTGAAGGGGTGTTACCAATATATAGATATATATCGTTATTTTTTGGGCTTGGCATTTTGTTTCATTTGCAGCTGATGCATTTCGATTAAAATTTCAGAAACTTTCATTAAATATAAATAGAGAAATGCGACATTTGCAGAGAGAGAGAGAAAGAGAGAGAGCGAGTCGAGACATCGACCGACCTCGCCAAATTGCCAGTTGGCATTAGCGTGCGACCCTTGCAGACCCACACCCAAGACCCACACCCTGAGCTTATGTGTCGGCACGTGCCAATTGCACACCACCTGCACAACCAGCCAACGTCCTTCACACAAACACACACCCACCCCCACAGTGTGTGCCACAGAGTCAAGTATGGTCGACAAATAGACCTTAGCCAATGCGGTGCCAGCTCCATTGGGAGCCAATTATTGCAGCTGTTCCGGCAAAGCCTCGTAAATATTGATGGCTCATCAAGCGGCCAACAACAAAGGTCACCAAACGCCCATTCTCATAAACAAATAAATCAGAACTATAAAGATAGTGCAGAGAGCGCTTCACCCCACCTCCAAACCCTACCACCCCCACCCACAGTGCTTGGGACGTTACTAGACTCGATTTAAGCTAAGCTTAAGTCTAAGCTAAACAGCTTCAACTGATTTATATTTATATACATATATATATATATATATATATATATATATATATATCATAAATTACATTAGTTTGTGTTATAACTTGTAATCTGTTATCGATTTTGCGACTGTGAAAACAGATCGATAAAATGTTCTATGCATTTTTACAATTAAATTTTTATGCTTATTCATGAGCTACATGGGGTATACTGGTTATGTAGTATAAAGAGTATAGTATATATAAGGTATATAGTAGATATATATATACGCCCCTTGGAGGCATGAAAAACTGTATCATTTTAGTTTAAAGTTAGGGACTCTGAATTGTACAGATAAGTTATATTGACTTATATACATCTAAGGAGTATATCTAGGCCAAAGTTTGATCGGACGTCCATATGGCAGGCGTGACAAATTGGAAAATATCCCACATCTTCCTTAATTTTAGAAATAAAATCGAGCAATTTTATATATATTTATAGATATTGGTCTCTAGATTAAAAGATTATTTATGAAAAACTTTAACTAATTTTGAATTGATTTTCCTTTTTAAAAAATATTAAAAAATTGCCAAACATTAATTTTTAACTAATTTCATAGCTAAATTGAGCATTTTGTATAATTTCATTGTAAATCAATCAAGATTAGTGCAAATAAGTATGAATCGTTCGGGAGCCTAATGAGAAAAGCTCGAAAATAGTTTTAGATATTATTTTAGATACGATTATCTTAGCTATATTTATATATATCACTTAATGGATTTAACGCAAATCATAATAAGCATATACCCTGGCGACTCTCAGCCCTAGGGATTGTTAAGCTGACATACTAATGACACTCATTCCGAGAAATTTCAGCTCAAGGCGCTGGCTAAAGGTCAACATCGTAACGTAATACGATTGATAAAACTAACACGCCGAGATTTTCCAAGCTCAAATTTCCGGAATACGTATACAAATATATTTGTATATATACATAGATAGGCAATCAAAGTGAGTTGACAATGGGGCGAAGTGGCTGCAATTAAATAATGTGTTGATAGTACGACTGGCTGACCACAAATAGTTGTTGTTCTGGCTGTGGTTTGATTTGGCCACAAGTGAGGTAATCAAGCACTATATAGAGGCTATGTTTATCGATTTCATATTTTTATGGAGGGTCCAGAGTACCAAGCCTTTATGACTCAAGATAAAGCGGGGCGATCGAATAAATTAATCAGTTTAGCGCTTTATTTGAGCCATTTTGATGGGATGATGCATCACATCTATTGTTTTTCCCAATTTGTGCTCTTTTTATCAATTTTCGATTTTACCTTGTTTTATTATCTTATTTTTTGTGTTTATACTCACAGTAAATTGCGAACGTCACAAGGCCGTGTGAGAAACGCCGGTATCAGAATGATCGCGTTAAACGAAACGATCCCATAATATATCATGAACTTGAAGTAGTAGCGAAATATGTGATTCGTCTCGTACAGAAAGGGCAACATCAGCAGCACAAACAATCCGAACAGTTCCAGATACGAGCTCATTGTGAGCATGGCTGAGTGTGTGTGTGCGAGTGTGTATGTGCGCGCGTGTGTGTGTGTGTGTGCGTATGTGTAAATGTAGCCAGTCTGTAATATTCGCGCAACCCCTCGTACTTTCACTGGCTTTATTTGCTCTCCTCTCTCCTGTCTTGTTTCTTTCTCCCGTCTGTTGCCGTTATTCAATGACACTTAAGGCAGAACGGTAGTGCAGTCTTCTCTCTTTTATGGTAACACTGTTCTTTGCTGAAACGAACAAAAAGCAGACATCGATTATGTGACCAGCTGCATAGCGGTTCAATTGAAGATAAGCGCGTGTCACATTAGTTCCAAAGATATTAAAAAGACAAATAAAAATAAAACTAAGACGCAACGCCGACCAGAATATACAAAACTGATACTATATATTCCATTAGGCTACTAACTAGTCACGTATTTCCAAATTTTTCAGTTATTTGTCTTACTACTTTTTAAGTGCATTAATTAAATTGGTTTCCTTTAATTGTTAAGTCGTGTAAGTTCGTGGCTGTTAAGCACGACACGAGTTCATCTCTAGTCTAATTGGCGCTGTCACAAATGTTCCATTCTGATTTGTATGCTATTTAAAGGGACACCACTGTAAATGACTGCGAGTGGGGACGAGAGCTACATTTAGTTTGGTTGAGCAAAGCAGAGCAAGGTAAAAGGGAGATTGCGTGTGTTTTGCAGCCCATTCTTGCTGCATTACCATGATTGTTTTGCAAGCGCAGCAGAAACAACAACAACAACAACAGCACACACACAAGTGAGCCGGGTATAATGTGAGAAAAAAATCAATTTTAATTGCTGAGCAAAACAAAACAACAAAATTTGTTGAACTATTTTTTTGCGGGCTGTTGAATTAGTTTTACTATGAGATAATCAAATTTAGATATAATCATTCTTGCTGGAGCAACGATCAAAAGCCCATTAAGGTAATTACGCCACCAAATTAAATCATATCAATACGATAACTATTTGAATAGAACATTTATTGGGTATTTCCTGTATTTAGGTAAGAGATTCGGTCCGTGAATTGGATCCACCGCTATGTATTTTCGTCAGACATTGGGAAGCTCGCATTACATACATAAATACAACTATTTACGCTAATTATCCAGATATAACTGTTTATTCATACATCAAAATGGTTGACACAGAGGAAAAATAGTGGGAAATTTTCGAAATACAAACTCGACGAGCAATTTCTAAAATAAAAAAAAATAAATAAAAAATAAAAACGAAAGAATTCCAGATCCCCACAAGTATGCAGTAAGAAATTTATAGTAAAGAAAACTGGAGAATTGAGAGCTGGAGAATTATTAAATTGTACATGTCCTGTATTCTGGTCAAAAATACCTGATACACCGACGTTTTATAGCTGCCAAAAATGTGTTCTTTGTAGAGTATACCCGGACCAACATACACGAACCACTTATATGATCTATGTATAATAACTCATACTTATTAAACGTATGTTTATATTTGTTTATAATTGCAGGGTATTTATAAATTTGGGTATTTGAATTTGGGCGAATTGAAGTTGCTGAGCAAATCTATGACCTTAAAATAAATGTATTTGTTTGTGTGCGAACCGGCAGGACATTGACCCACACAACTTACGCATACATGCATACACGCACGCACGAAGTCACACACAAATGTCGAATCTTGAAATTCATATTTGTTTATGTCACTCACGCTGCATATATGCGTATGTATTTCTAATACACGCCTGTATGTGTGAGTGCAAGTGTACGAAAATTTTGGCATCGTTCTGGCAAGCGCGTATGTGAGCATAATGCAACAACAATCAAATTGTGAGGGTTGCAAAGGGAAAGACAACACAGCAGCCTCACCAATAAAAGGCATTGACACACATAAGGAACGGGAAAGAGAGCGAGAGTGCGAGCAATGCGAGAACATGCTAAGGATAACAAGCACAACAAATGAAAGATAAATAGGGAAAAAGAAGAAAAATAAATATGCATAGCATATGTAATTAAAATGCTGTTCTGTGTTATTATTTTCGATTTTTCTGCATCTACTACTTTTTATTTTGCTGTCTGCTTTGCAGTTATTCCCTTTTTGTTTTGGCTTTGTTGTTGTTGAAGTAACTGGCAGCTTCTTTTCACAGTGCTGTTTGCTGTATCGGCGTCTGTGCTTTGCAGCCGGGCCAACTCAGACACGTACGTACTCTTAATACTCTCTTTCTCACACACACAGTGCCATGCGGAATTAAGTAAAGTATTTTTAATGAAACACAATTGATAGACGAGTAACAACAAAGCGCGCGAGCCAAACTTGACGACAACACATCAAATTGAGTAAAACTACAAAGTACAACAACAGAAAAGCATGCAGCATTTTCTTTTCCTTCTTATAATGTGTACATGTTTTTGTACATCTTTCATTTTTTTGCAAAATACATATGTATGTATGTATTATAATAAAAAGGATTACATTTTTGCTTAATGCGACGCCGCTGCGCTTAACAACGTTGGCAGCGACGGCGACGACGACCGGGCGCCGCTAAAACGTAGAGCGCGAAAAACTTTGACGGGAATTTCCGTTACCGACGTGCTAGCTCTGCGGCGGCGAAAATAAACAACAACAAATTGTAATTAAATTGATGCTTAGCAGAGTATGCTATTAACATAATATACAGTGTTATACTCAAAGTGTTCTGTTAAGTTTACCAAGTTAATGAATGTTATTTGCTTAACGAAAGCCGCACTTAACATTTACTCACCCAACGAAATGTTATAACTTAACGAATAACTTCTGTCTGTATTTTAAAATTAAGATATCGATTTATTCCAATCAACTCTGATATTTTTGTACAGTGGTTCTTGCCTTTGCTTAAGACTATAGCGCGTGACTTAAATATAGATAGATATACATGTTTCAGACATTTTCCAAAGCAGTTCATTTTATTTACTAGTATGGTATTTCATTTTATTTGTGTGTAGTTGGCAGAACAAACCCGTACCTTGTCCCATAATTTAGTTGCCTTTCCGCCTGCCTGCACTTGGCAACGGACAAGAAGCTCTGATTATGAATCCCCCACTCTTTTCCCTAGCAACAAAAAGATTGGCAAGCGGAAAACGTGTAGTCCGGGCGAATAAAAAAATAACAAAAATATTTTTGTTTACATGGATGTTGGAGCTGCCAAGCAAAATGAAAATGATGACGCGCTGATAATCTGGATTGAACTCTGTGACGGAATAATACCGAAATGACAGACATTTCTATAAACCGCTTTAATCAAATCCACGCGGAATAAACACCTTCAAGTAACAGTTACTTTAAAGAGTAAAACTAATTTAAAGAGCAGTCCATAAAATTCGTTAATATGAGGATAACTAATGTTTTCAGCGTTCAGTCCATATACCGTTGTCAAAAGTTTTCATTTGTAGTCGCCATACTTTTTTGAATGCTTTTTTGCAATGCAGCTTACAGTTGCGCTCGCTCATAAATTAACAGAAAAAAAACAGAACTTGAGCTCTCACTGAGAGCGCTTAAGAGTTATACGATACTTTGCTTGTAAACAGTGCGCTGCCTCTCTCTGACACACTCTCAGTAACTGTAGGCGATCGTCAATGCTAGGTCACAATTGAAAAATAGGTTATAAGCACGACTGCTCTACTTGAATTATGACGTCACAAAATGTTGATGTTTAGGTGAATGTAAAAGCTTTCATTGATCAGTTTGTAAATTAGTTTTTAGTTTAATATACAGTATAACGATACAATAAAGCGATATTCTGACGTCACATTCTCCGCAACAACGCTCACATTGAACCTCTAGATCGTAATACATATGCGTTAAAAACTGTTGGCATGCGTGCGTGCGCGAGCTTGTGTGTTAAGTGTCTGTATTTTTTCCATGTGCAAAGAGAAGGCAAAGCACATAAAACACATAAAGACGCCGGCGGAGCGTATTAGCGCACAGTTGGCTTGGAGCTTGACTTCGATACGGACTGTAGGCAGTATAGCAGTAGAGTAAACAAGTAATCGATTAACGAACGCAAAGCAGAGCGAGCAACACGTGTGTCAATTGAAATCGTGTTGCGTATCAAATTGAAGCATAATTGAAAACAGTAGCAGTAGAACACACGGCAATGGCAACCACAACGACATCGAGTAAGTGCACACCGCAATTCCACCTCCACTGTAAACTAAAGCATCGTCTATAGTTGAGGGCTACAAGCTGGGCAAGGTGCTTATCGAGGGCAAAACGAAGCAAGTGTACAATCTGCCCGAACATCCTGGCCTCTGTTTGCTGCTCAGCAAGGATCGCATTACCGCCGGCGATGGTGTCAAGGCCCACGATCTGGCAGGCAAGGCGCAGATCTCCAACACAACCAATGGCCAGGTTTTCCGTCTGCTCAACGAGGCCGGTAAGTATTGCTAACTGCTCTAGCTTGCAGCTGCAACGAAATTTCTCGCTCTCGTTTCATTTTCGCTCTTCTGATTTCGCCGTAGGCGTTCGCACTGCATATGTAAAGCAGTGCGGCGAAAAGGCGTTTATTGCCCGCAAATGCGAAATGATTCCAATTGAGTGGGTTACTCGACGCCTGGCAACCGGCTCCTTTCTCAAGCGCAATGTGGGCGTGCCCGAGGGCTACAGGTCAGTAACACTCGCTAGGTTATCTACCTAGCAATTTGCATGCGACTGCTGCGTCTTATCAATTGCAACGAACGTCAGTGCACTAAACCTCTCCATCCCCTTCGCCTACCTCCCTCTTGCTAGTAAACAGATTTAAATACAATTGATGCACTGTCGTGAGGTCGTTCCGTTGACCCCGCTGCACTGATAAGCGCCAAAACAACAACAATCGAAAACATGCCTGCTTAAAATAAACCAGTTTATGTAAGACAATTTACAGCGATTAACAAGGGTAGAGACTTCTCGACATAAGCGCCTTCAGCTAGCTTCTGGCGTTTTACTTTATTAGCGCAGGATGTCTGCAGGACAAATTATTTAGATTGTGAACTATTTATAGAACGCTCTTCATAGAGTCAAAGAGGGCATATAGGCTTTTGGGTAAATTCCAAGCCACAAGCCAATAAACTTTATATCGCGATTGTTGACCTCGTGATCGCGTAATTTAACATAAATCGATTTTGAGATGTACACCGATATACCCAATTCAGTATATATACAGTATATATTTTTATGTGCCGATAACCAGTAGCAGCTTTTCTAAGTTCATGATTTCTTGCTGCTATATCCGACTTATCGATAACTATGTAATTTGACTTTCCTTTCCATATCGATAACAGGCACAGTTTATTAAATCGTTTCTGCCTTTATTCAACACAGATTCTCGCCCCCCAAGCAGGAGACTTTCTTCAAGGATGACGCCAATCACGATCCTCAGTGGAGCGATGAGCAAATCATTTCGGCCAAATTCGAGCTAAATGGTCTAACAATCGGTAAGTGGTATTAAGCAACCAGCTGAAGCAGTTAAATGGAGTGTATTTGAATTGCAGGTCAGGATGAGGTGGACATTATGCGACGCACCACGCTGCTCGTGTTCGAGATCCTCGAGCGCGCTTGGCAAACAAAGAACTGTGCGCTCATTGACATGAAGGTGGAGTTCGGTGTGGATGCCGATGGCAACATTGTCCTGGCCGATATCATAGACTCAGATTCGTGGCGCCTCTGGCCAGCAGGCGATAAGCGTTTGATGGTCGACAAGCAGGTCTATCGCAACCTAACGTCGGTCACCAGCACCGATCTCGATACCGTCAAGCGCAACTTCATCTGGGTAGCTGAGCAGTTGGCCGACATAGTACCCCGCAAGGATCACTTGGTTATCATTCTGATGGGCAGTGCCTCTGATACATCGCACTGCGAAAAGATTGCCACCAGCTGCCGCTCGCTCGGCCTCAATGTGGAGTTACGTGTCAGCTCGGCCCACAAGGGACCGGAGGAGACGCTGCGTATTGTCCGCGAATATGAATCGGTGATGACGAATCTGATCTTTGTCGCTGTCGCTGGTCGCTCGAATGGCCTAGGTCCTGTTGTCTCCGGCAGCACCAACTATCCGGTGATCAATTGTCCGCCCGTCAAGTCGGACAACATGCAGGTGGACGTTTGGTCGAGTCTCAATTTGCCGTCGGGCATGGGCTGTGCCACCGTGCTCTATCCGGAGGCAGCAGCGTTGCATGCTGCCACAATTTTGGGCCTTAACAACTTTATGATCTGGTCCAAGCTGCGCGTGAAGCAACTCAACAATTTTGTGACGCTTAAGAAAGCCGACAAGGAGTTGCGCGGCGTACGCAATGTCTAACCGGGCCGACCTGATGGGCCAGCACAATCTTTTTTTTAATAATTATTATGCACATTTTTTCAATTATTTTTTCCTATCTTCTATGTTATAATTTAGTATAGTTTGCTCAAACGCAAATAATAAAATTAAATAAAATTAAAAAAAAAACGGCGAAGAGTCGAGGCACATTTGATTGGGACGTTGGGTTTGTGTCTTAGCTGGCACTTTTGTATTATTATTTAGGGTTGTGCATTTATTTTTTATAATTCTTTTGGCCTCGCCTATTTTGTGTTTTAGTTAAGTTTAGTTAATTGGAACAATGGGTTTGTGTCTTAGCTGGTGCTGTGTGTTTGTTTAATGTTTTTTTTTCACATTATGCAAATTTTTTTCTCTGTACTATGATATTCTTGTCCGTGTTCGCTCAAATGAAAATAATAAAAAATAAAATAAAATAAAAAAAATAAGAGAATAGTCTAGACACATTATTTGATTGGGACAATGGGCTTGTGCCTTAGCTGGTACTGTGCACTTTTGCAGGGTGCATATAGTCGAGACACATTATTGTGCTGTTGTTTGTTTTTCTTATAATTTATATGCATATATTTATGTTATAGTTCAGTATAGTTTACTCAAAAGCAAATAATACAAAATTATATAAAATGAAAAGGTACAGCGAATAGTTAAGACATATTATTTGATTTCTTAACATTTGCATATTAGGTTTGTGTCTTTGATGGCTCTACAATTGTGGGCTGCGTCTAGTCGAGACACATTATTGTGGTGACGTTCGGGCGTCTAGCTACCTTCTTGACGGAATAACTGCGTTTAAGTACATACAACTTTGATTGTAAAAAAGTCTTGTAGTTATGATATTGACAAAATTATATCTTGTAATGAATAGCACATTAATTATAAATCATTTGTGGCCATTTTTTCTTACTATGATTTATTTGTATTTTTTATTTAAAAATCCAAAAACGTCAAAGAATTTCGGCATAGAAAAATATATATATGTATGCTTGTACGCATACTTATGCGGGAAACTGAAGCTGCTTAGTAATTTATAGCCTACTTTTTGGCTGCGCCTTAAAATATTTAAAGGGATTTTGTATTCGATTCTTATTAGAATTACTCAATTAGAAATAAAACTTTGTTTACTTTGTTTTAATTATGTGCATTGAACTTTGAAAATAGTTTTAAATTTAAAGACTTTATCAATGATATCTGATAATCGCCTTAAAATAACCTCTTTTTACTGAATATATGTTTATTTTAGATAGAAGGCTCTTTGACTCAACCACAGCCATTATTTGCTAAGGCAATTAAAGTGCTTTTCAGCTAATGCTTTAACAAACATTTCAAGCAACATCTTCAAATTTCTTAATCTCAGCTAAGCCAAACATTTTGCTCTTATCTGCTGCAGCATATGCGCCATTAGAGCCACCCATCCTCCCTCGGTCGCCCTGGAAACTGTGCTGCGTAGATTTTGCATGCTTTGAAGGCGACAGTTAAGCTACTCCAGTTACCTACCACCCTCTCGCTGCTGCCCTTTTGCCCAGCTGCCACGCCCATGCAGACTAAACAGTGATAAGAGCTTTGAGACTCGAGGCTGGAAAACTGAAGATGAAATCGGAGAAGACTATGCCAAGTGGAAGAGTTCCCAATTGCCAGTTGCCAGTTGCCGTTGTCAAGACACTTTTTCACTGTACCATGGCCACGTGGCGAGGGACTGGAGAGGCGACTGAGGCGGCAGAGGCTGAGGAGGCAGAGAGGCTAGAGGGAGGCCATGTAAAATGTGTTGAAGTGCGCGTCGCGTAACCTCTGCTCAATTAATCATACTTCACCAGCAAACACATTCATAACAATAACAATAACTTAGCACGTGGTCTGCCCAAAGGGGAAGCAGTGGAAAGAGAGAGAGAGAGAGAGAGAGACCTCAGAGAGAGACAGAGAGAGAAAGAGAGCGAGGGCGCGGGCTCGCGCGAATAGAGAATCCACAGCACATATTAAAAGTCAGGGTCAAAGTGCCATTGTGCTTGCTTCATGTCGCAACTTATGCGGTCGCGCGCTGCTACCAGACGGAAGGGGGCGAGGGCAGAGCTGCGTAGTGGGCGGCGGGTTGGGTTGGGCAATCGGACGCTAACAACAATAAACAAAATATGAATGGCGAAGCAAATGTAACGAAAATGTAAGAAAACAAGAATTGAATAGTAAAACTAATGCACATAGTCGACGGCTGTATACCCTATAGGCTAAATGCACGTATACGCAGGCATCAATTTCTAATTTAATTCATATGCAAATTTTTCTGTGAATTTATTAAAAATAATACACATTAATTGATTCATCGGCGTTCGTTATTTAACATAGTGTTAATATGTGCTACATGCTTCGGATAAATATCTATACGTAAATACATCTGTTAACAGAACGTGATTTCCAACACGCGCTTTAGCCAGCAATTTATATTTAGTAGTATTTATTTATATGATTCAACAAAAGTCACATTAAATAATCAAATCCAATATTTATATATATTGTACCTAGTCTAATTTTAATATTCTCTTTAAAATAGTATTTGTGCTGCATATATGTACATATGTGTATATTTACATACATTTAGAACATTTAAGCTCTCTAACTTTTGAAATCTCTAACAAAGTCATAAAGTACTTAGCGCAAAAAGTGTATAGAAAAAATAACGTTGTTGCCGTCTTTGCTTTGCTTTGATTTGCTTCTCTTTGCCTTGCTTGGCGTCTCTGCTGTTGTTACTGTTGCGGCTGGGTCTGAGGCCGTGGGGGTCGTCCAACGACAACAATGCCCGGCAATTGTTTTGCGGCGTCGACGCCAACGTCAACGTCTGCAGCGACAGCGACGATGACGAGGCTATGTTTGCGGTCGCTGTCGTTTCCGTCTGTCGCGACTGTCCGCTCGTCGAGAACGACGCGTCAGTGCGGTGCGGAGGAGCGGTGCTTTTGGCGCGGATCGTTTGCTAAGGCATAAAACAATTTTGTTACAAGAAAAAGCCGCCACCGCCGCCGTCTCTTTGTCCGATCTCTGCACACGTTTTCATTATCATTGTATATGTGCGAGTGCGTGTGTGAGTGCACATATATTCTCTTTTTCTGCGCGCCTTCTGCCTCTGAAAGTCCGGTACTTCAACTTGTTGCTAAAAATATGCAAGGCAGTAAGAGGAAACCGGTTTTCAGCGATCAACTTGCTGGGCCTGTTGCTGGGTGCCAGTGGCCGCAAGCTAGGTTAGGTAGCGGCTTGACGGGCGTAGGGGTGAGAAGGGGGAAGGTGGCGACTGTGTGACTTGATTGAGTTGGCTTAAGCAGTGAACGAGCCATGCACAAATAAAGCCAAGACAACAACATGCAAAAAGCCAACACGTAATACAAGACGAGTCTCGGTTGGAGCCCCAAAACACGATCGCGCCGACCAAGCACAAACGCAGTGCGAAGGGGCAAAACAATTCACATTGTTGCTGTTGTTGTAGTTGGCACTGAGAGCGGACAGAGCGGCTGACAAACAAACACACAGGCATGGGGGCATTGATGATGGAGCCGCTGCCGACGCGACAGCGACGACGGCGACGATTACGCGCCCATAGCCGGCAAGCTTAGTTGTTGTTATTATTATTGTTGCTGTCGTTCTCATTATCTCTGCTGTGGCTGTTGTTGTTACTGCTGTTATTGTTATTGCTGTTGTTGTAACCGCAAAGTTGCGCTACTTTTGCGCTTATTCGGCTTCGCGCCTTAGCGTTATCTCGCTCGCACGCTCCCTACTTGCCATTTCACAATGTCACCCACCAGCCGTAGCCATAAATTCAGGTTAGGTTTTGTTTTCTTCTTTCCTTCTACACACTCACACATGCATGCATGCATAAATGAGCGCGAGTCGAAGTTTACACTTATGATTTTGTGTGTGTGTGTGTATATGCATATATATGCATGTATGTATAACAACTGACTTAACTGTGAATTGCTTCGACTTCAAGCGTCGATCGGTCGTATGTTAGTGGACAACAGCCAGTGGAATCGCAGTTGTTTACGGGTCGTGGGGTGTGGGGTCTCGGGTATATCAGGCCGGTAGGTGTCTTTGGGCGCGAACATTTTATGATAAGCACAAATTGTGAACGATCTGTCGATAATAAAAACGAATTAACAAAACAAAAATTAGCAACAACACACGAAACGAGAGGGGAGAAAAAAATTAAAATAGACAAAGATACGGATAGAAGAGCCTACATACACACATACATATGTATGTACATATATAGCGGTTAACTAAACAGCTGCTCAAATTCATGAGTGTGTATGATCGATATCGGTCAATGTCGAGCAATTACCGAAGTTACCACTCACATACATACAGTCTGTCAAGAAACACTTTACACAGTGGAAAAAATCTCAATTTTTTGACTTTATGTAAAAAAATAAAGAGTTTTTGTTTAATTTAACTAATTTTTTTTAATGGTTACCTGTTTAATAGGTATTTTTAAATCAAATTATAGAAAACAGAAACAAAAACAATAATGGTGAAACTTAAAAAACAACAAAAACTTAGATTACTCATATTTTACACTGTCAAGAAACTCTTTACACATTTTGTTCTCTTCATCTGTTTTGCTCTGATTCTAAGAAATAACGGGGCTTTACCGTTAACTATGCCTTTAGAATCTGTCTATGCATCTCTATTTTTGTGTTTATTTTTCACTTTGTGCGAAATTTGGCTGAGTACACATATAAAAGCAATACAAATTTTGATTAATAATGCCCGGAAAGAGATTAAGCTTCGATGTTGTCCAATTGATCTTCTACAATCGGCAGTTGGGCAAATCAGTTCCAGAATTAGTGGAAATGTTTTCTGTGTCAAGAAAAACCATATACAACGTTCTCAGTCGCGCGGAAATGAGGGAAGACTTGAGGCAAAGGGTGTGGGTGGCCGAAAAAAAAAGATATCTGATCGGGCAAGCCGCCTTATGATGCGAAAGATCAAATCAAATCCCCAAATCTCGACCAGAACTCTTGCCAAGGAGCTCAAAGAAGAGTGTGGTGTGGATGTGTCCCACGAAACGATCCGTCAGGCTATTCTACGGCATGGGTATTCTTCGAAAGTGGCACGTAAGAAACCCTTGCTGTCGTCGACAAATGTG